AAAAAAAAAAAAGACTTGTCTGGCTGCTCCTGGGTCCCTGGGAAATATCCCATCCAGGCTCTAGTGAATTTTAATTATGGAAGTGAAATGTACATTTACCCCAAGAAAGTGCTCACTGTAGAGAAATCTCGTAAGGCATGTCATTGAAAGCAGATTTACTAAATGACCTATTCACCAAATGACCCATTTACATAATGACACTTTGCCAAATGACCAATTTGCTAAAAGCCAATTCACTGAGTATCAGTTGTTGGTGGGACATCCTGCTTATCAATAACTGATGATGGTCAACACCTTACTCCAGGCTTCAGATGGGCTGTGGGATAGGAGATAGGGACCAAATAGTTGTAGCAATACTCTGAAACTTAAACACAATCCTCAGTAATTTGCTGAATTGGTCATTCATTTCATTAGTTTCCAGCAAAATGACCTGCTTCCTGTAAATTCACAAGAAGATTGTGGGCAATGACTTGGAAGAAGGGAAAAGGGTGTAGGCAGCTGTCCTTTGTACTCTGTTTTGATTGAGAATAGTTGCTCTAGGCACTCGGTAAAGTCATCAGGAACTAAGTTTCTCCTGGCAGAATAAAAGCTGGCTAGTGTTTGCAAACAACTGAATTCCCAGAGACAATTCCATTTTCCTTTATATCCCTCAGATTCAGGGTTTTGAAGTCTTAAGAATTAGCCACCTCATTTATAGGAACCACCTCCCTTTTTTCAGCCACCAGTGCAATGGTAAGGGTTTGCTCTTCCTCTGAGCAGCTTTCTTCCAGGCACCAGCAAGCACTGGGTTGTAGAAGGCAGGCTGATTTTCTGTATCTAGAAGGGAGCGTCTGGGGGCAGATTGCACATGATTTCTGAGGCTCAGAAGGATTACCACCTGGCTTCCTCTGGGGAGACTCTTTCCTTTGCCCCAAAGACACATCCTTTGTTACCTATTTAGAGCTGCTGATATCTTGTATGGGGAGCATTGAAGCTGCCAGAAAACAGGATTATTCTGCTTGATCCCTACACCCCACCCCAGCTCAGGACACCCCTTTTTGAATCTTTTCTATCTCAGGGCAGAAAGACCACACTGCTGCTTTTGTATCTCACCTGGTTGCTGGTCATAAGAGTCTACAAGCATTTCCTGGGTGACTGCCAGGGAGCCGTTGTGGGGCTCGGGGGTAATCCCCAGGAGCTTACACATGAGTGGGTAGATGTGGATGCTGTCAAAAGGCTCAGTGAGGTGATTCTTCTTGAAATCTGGCCCAAAAGCTCTGAATATGGTCTTCATGTCCATGTAGACATTGTCAAAGCCGTGGTCTCCTTTGTTGAAATATATTATAAGTTGCTAAAAAATAATAATAACAAAGAAGCCATTGTAGATTCCAGTCCCCTGGAAGAAAACTGCAGCTTAGTTAATGTCATGCTTGTTGGATCCATGAAATCTTTGAAAATTAACACGGAAAGACAGCCTTCTGAGAGAAGGCCAGAGAGAAGAACAAGGAATGAAAGATCTTTAAGAGAATAAAGAAAGCACATCCATTAGGAACGGTAAGAAGATAATAATACTGACAATAATAATATGATCAAACATAGAGCTCTTACTATGAGTTTTGATGAACGCTTTATAAATATATTAACTCCTTTTATCCACATGGTAGCCCAGCAAGGGCACTGTTACTGCCATCCCCATTTTACAGAGTAGGAACCTGAGGAACGCGCCCTGAGTCATGTAGTAAGAACTGAACCTAGACTGAGCCAGTATGATTCTTATGGCATTTAAAGTATATATATTTGGTAGGGGGTTGGATTAGAGAGGAGGGAGTTAGGTCTGTAGGTTATTGTTTGGTGGATGCAAGGTAGGTTTTTGTCCCTATTTTCAAATGACTAAGTAATATCAGTTATAACACTTTATATTTTCTTAGGACTAACATAGTCTAGCATGCAAGAGTGTGATGCTCTGGACATTGAAAAGCTGGTCTCTTATTTTGCTTGGTGAATACAGAAAGTGCCTTTTTTTCTCTGCTCAGGCTCCATCCACCTAGCTAAAGAAACCAGTCCAACTGCTTTGGAGGCCATGGTGCAGCCAATTAAGAGTGAGTGCCTCCACTAATGGCCTCATGAGCTTTGCAAGCTCCTTAATCCCAAAAAGAGGAGGGTAAAGCCCATTATACTTAGCACATCAAGGCAAGCAGGGACTCTGAAAACTACTCAGTGATGAGTCACTGAGACACAAAGGGTGCTCTGCCTAATGGTCAGTTCACCAAAAGGTTAAACTGATCATAGAGCACCCTATTCCCTCAAACGATCAGATTGGTCAGGTTGGGAATGTGACTGTCACATTAATTACGTTCATATCACTCCCAATCTGTTATGTCATGAGCCATGGCTTTGAGCATGCATCCTCGGCCAGGTGAGGGATTACAAAATACCAATGAATGGTTGCAGTTTACTATGAATATTTCCACCAACATTAAGTGATAACCTTATGAGTGTTTCCATATCTGTTTTACTATGGACTTGCAGCAAGCCAAGAGAACGCACAGACTGCAAACATAAGTACAAATGTGTGGCTCCTGTCCATATCCTCAGACGGGTTCTTCAAGCCATACCTGGGATGTCTTCTGCCATGTGACGGTAAACAGTACCTAACCTGTTCTGCCATGAATTACTGGCTGGTAGTTAACAAAAACCAGACCACTTCACTCAGACCTCAGAATTAGCATTGATTCTGATATGTTCCTCTTTAAGGTTATTTTTTTATAGCAGCTTTGCTGAGATATAATTCATATACTATCCAATGCCCCCACTTAAAGTGTACAATTCAATGATTTTTAGTACATTCAGAGTTGTACACCTATGACTGCAATCAATTTTAGCACACTTTCATCACCTTAAAAAGAAACTGTACCTTTTAGTAATCACTCACCATTTCTCCCTGATTTCTCCTCCAGTCCCAGACAATCACCAGTATGTGTTCTGTCCCTCTAGAATTGCCTATTCTGGACATTTCACTTCAGTGGAATCATACAATATATAGTCCTTTGCATCTGACTTCCTTCACTGAGCATAATGTTCTCAAGCCTCATTCAAGTTGTAGCATGTAACAGTACTTTGTTCCTCTTAATGGCTACATAATATTCCATTGTGTGGATAGACCATGTTTTATCCATTCATCAGTTGATGGACATTTGGATTGTGTTCACTTATTGGTTAGTATGAATAATGATGCTATAAGCATTTGTTTGTGCATTTTTTTAATGAACAGGATTGCTCTTTTTTTTCCTGATATGTGTAAAGGGGAACCAGCAGGTGGTTTTTCTGGTGAATGTACTGGTGGTGATCTGTGCATAATGATTAGGCTTGCAGGCTTGGTTTCAAACTTCAGCCTTATACTTCTAATCCCAAATCACTTCTCTCTAGCTTTGGTTTCTTCCTCATTAAAATGGGGGAGATAAGAGCATCTATCTTTGGGGTTGTTGGGAAAAGTAAAATAACTCATGTTAAAATTTTAGCACAGTGCTGGACACAGCCTTGGTCAGGGATTTTTGTCATTATTGCATAATAGTAACATGGGGCAGGGTTGGTTGGGGTGGGGAACACTTAGAAAACTGTTGGTTACAACCTATGTTTTAATGTTTTTCAGTCTCTCCCTGGTGGCTGTCTCCCAGATCCACGATGACTTGACCCATTTTGGAATCAACTTACCCCATTGATGTTGTAACCAGAGTCAGCATACATCACTATTGGCAGTACCCGCTGGTGTTTAGCAAAATGGAAGCGTTCTGGAAATTCCTCCTTCTTATACACATTGAGGTGAGGGTGTGCATTCTTCAGTACTTGGTAAACGGCTTCTTCTTGCCCTGGTTTGGGCAGGAGCATCCCAAAGCCACCATAGTCCACAATATGAAACTTGATCATATCCCTGAACTTGATGTAGTTGGTCAAGAGGATCTCAGTGACATTGGGCTTCTTTTTTACTGTGGTCATGCCATGATCTGATGTGATGATGACATTGAGGTGCTCAGTCAAGCTATACCTCTCTATGGTTTCCACCAGGTACCCGATGGTTCTGTCGATTTGCTGAATAATCATCCTTCTGTTCTCTGTTTCGGGCCCGAATTGGTGTCCCACGTTATCTGGCTCTCCATAGTACAGAGTCACAAAGTCAAAGTCTTCCTTAGTGAACCAGTTCATGACAATATCGATGTTCTCCCTCCACTCTGTCTCATTGCTGTTTGGGTGAGTGTAGGACTCCACCAACGACCGTTGAACAGCTTCCCCTTTGTACTTAGCACCTCCCCCAGGATAGTGGAATGACGCCGTCTTCCTCCCCTGCAAGCACAAGACAAAAATTCTATCAGAGTCATTTCTCATGTTAAGCAAAGCCCACCTTGTCAGCATATCTGCCTGAGTCCAGAGGTACAGAAAACACAGGAGCTTTGGAGTCGGATGAGGTCGGACTTCATTCCCGGCTTCACCAGGATTTCATCAAATGCTAAAACACCATTAGCTGCAAGATGTGCCATTATTTTATGCACCAACGGAAAGAAAAACATTGCCAATTAAACCATGACACTCCAGTGATTATGTGATGCACTTCAACTTCAGAGACAGCAGAGTGAAAAAAAAAGTTCCTTGGAATGGAGGAAAATGCTAGTTCCTGAGCTGGTGATGGTGAGTGACTTCTTTAATTGCCTTTGCTTTAATGTTACTGCATGTAAAATGCCAAAAAGTTGACGACATTTTTGTGAGGATTAATCCAGATAATTTTGAGATAAAGTGTTGGGTATTTTGCATATAGTAGGTATTCTTTTCTTTGCTTCCAGATATAACAAACCACGACAAGCCTTCTCCAATGTATGTAGTGGACAGTTACTATGTTTACCTGCCCAGTACCCACTCCCTGTCTTCTGGTTCAGGGCCCCCTGACTTTGGGAGGCTCTCTGCCAGTTCCTTGTTGTGTGCCTGGCTTGTGAGTGTTGGCTCTGCATCAGGCTCCAGAGGTGGGGTATGGCTCTGGCCTGGCCAGACAGAGGATACTGTGTCTCCTGGCCATAGCAGTTGGTTCAGCCTCAGGCCCATGTTGCAGTCAGAGCAGATGAGATTCAATCTTGGGACTTCTTCTGGGCTGTTGGAGAGGGAAGGAGCTGCCCGATTCAGTACTTGCAATACTTGTAAAATTTTGAGGTGCCTTCCACAAGGGGAGACTGCCCTCTTTTTCCCTGTACAGATATCTGGTCAACCACGGTGTTTGGGGACCTGTCCAGAGGGAGAACAATATGGTGGCTAAAAGTGTGCTCTAATGCTGGATTGCCTGGTTATGTCCTTTCTTCACCTCTTGGATACCTGTTGCTCAAATGCTCTCTACCTCAGCTTCCTCATTTGTAATATGGGAATGATAATGCCCCTAATTGTGGGGTGGTTGTGAGGACTCTGCATGCAGAGCATAATAGTAAGCATTCAGTGAGCTTAGCTTTTATTTTCCTTAGAGAGGGAGAAAGAGTATTGGGCTAAGTGGCATGGTCAGGTGGTGAGGGGGCACAGATTATTTCCTCTAGTTTCTATCTCCTAAGGGCAACTGAAGATGGATCTGAAATGTGCCTGCAAACCTGAGGGTTGGGGACTGCACAGGGAAGATGAGATTGGGGCTCCAGTCATGGCAAAAGTGGCTGCCGCATGGGGTCTTGGGCCCCTCACATCAGAGAAATGGGGTAGATTCCATACTTCTTCTCCGTACCAGCTGCTCATGTCTAGTAATTGACTGATGGAAGGACAAAAGACGAGCTCTGTTCTCTCAGGGTGGGAATGACATGGGGGTAAAGTTCATGCTCCAGAATTCCCTGTAGGATCAGGCTGAAGCCTGTCTCCAGCTGGGGCCACTTTTCTCTTCCCACTGCCCCGTCCATCCTCCGCACTCGTGTCTCCTGAGAGCTCTGCCTCAATGCATTTATCTGACTTCCTTCACTGAGCATAATGTTCTCAAGCCTCATTCAAGTTGTAGCATGTAACAGTACTTTGTTCCTCTTAATGGCTACATAATATTCCATTGTGTGGATAGACCATGTTTTATCCATTCATCAGTTGATGGACATTTGGATTGTGTTCACTTATTGGTTAGTATGAATAATGATGCTATAAGCATTTGTTTGTGCATTTTTTTAATGAACAGGATTGCTCTTTTTTTTCCTGATATGTGTAAAGGGGAACCAGCAGGTGGTTTTTCTGGTGAATGTACTGGTGGTGATCTGTGCATAATGATTAGGCTTGCAGGCTTGGTTTCAAACTTCAGCCTTATACTTCTAATCCCAAATCACTTCTCTCTAGCTTTGGTTTCTTCCTCATTAAAATGGGGGAGATAAGAGCATCTATCTTTGGGGTTGTTGGGAAAAGTAAAATAACTCATGTTAAAATTTTAGCACAGTGCTGGACACAGCCTTGGTCAGGGATTTTTGTCATTATTGCATAATAGTAACATGGGGCAGGGTTGGTTGGGGTGGGGAACACTTAGAAAACTGTTGGTTACAACCTATGTTTTAATGTTTTTCAGTCTCTCCCTGGTGGCTGTCTCCCAGATCCACGATGACTTGACCCATTTTGGAATCAACTTACCCCATTGATGTTGTAACCAGAGTCAGCATACATCACTATTGGCAGTACCCGCTGGTGTTTAGCAAAATGGAAGCGTTCTGGAAATTCCTCCTTCTTATACACATTGAGGTGAGGGTGTGCATTCTTCAGTACTTGGTAAACGGCTTCTTCTTGCCCTGGTTTGGGCAGGAGCATCCCAAAGCCACCATAGTCCACAATATGAAACTTGATCATATCCCTGAACTTGATGTAGTTGGTCAAGAGGATCTCAGTGACATTGGGCTTCTTTTTTACTGTGGTCATGCCATGATCTGATGTGATGATGACATTGAGGTGCTCAGTCAAGCTATACCTCTCTATGGTTTCCACCAGGTACCCGATGGTTCTGTCGATTTGCTGAATAATCATCCTTCTGTTCTCTGTTTCGGGCCCGAATTGGTGTCCCACGTTATCTGGCTCTCCATAGTACAGAGTCACAAAGTCAAAGTCTTCCTTAGTGAACCAGTTCATGACAATATCGATGTTCTCCCTCCACTCTGTCTCATTGCTGTTTGGGTGAGTGTAGGACTCCACCAACGACCGTTGAACAGCTTCCCCTTTGTACTTAGCACCTCCCCCAGGATAGTGGAATGACGCCGTCTTCCTCCCCTGCAAGCACAAGACAAAAATTCTATCAGAGTCATTTCTCATATTAAGCAAAGCCCACCTTGTCAGCATATCTGCCTGAGTCCAGAGGTACAGAAAACACAGGAGCTTTGGAGTCGGATGAGGTCGGACTTCATTCCCGGCTTCACCAGGATTTCATCAAATGCTAAAACACCATTAGCTGCAAGATGTGCCATTATTTTATGCACCAACAGAAAGAAAAACATTGCCAATTAAACCATGACACTCCAGTGATTATGTGATGCACTTCAACTTCAGAGACAGCAGAGTGAAAAAAAAAGTTCCTTGGAATGGAGGAAAATGCTAGTTCCTGAGCTGGTGATGGTGAGTGACTTCTTTAATTGCCTTTGCTTTAATGTTACTGCATGTAAAATGCCAAAAAGTTGATGACATTTTTGTGAGGATTAATCCAGATAATTTTGAGATAAAGTGTTGGGTATTTTGCATATAGTAGGTATTCTTTTCTTTGCTTCCAGATATAACAAACCACGACAAGCCTTCTCCAATGTATGTAGTGGACAGTTACTATGTTTACCTGCCCAGTACCCACTCCCTGTCTTCTGGTTCAGGGCCCCCTGACTTTGGGAGGCTCTCTGCCAGTTCCTTGTTGTGTGCCTGGCTTGTGAGTGTTGGCTCTGCATCAGGCTCCAGAGGTGGGGTATGGCTCTGGCCTGGCCAGACAGAGGATACTGCGTCTCCTGGCCATAGCAGTTGGTTCAGCCTCAGGCCCATGTTGCAGTCAGAGCAGATGAGATTCAATCTTGGGACTTCTTCTGGGCTGTTGGAGAGGGAAGGAGCTGCCCGATTCAGTACTTGCAATACTTGTAAAATTTTGAGGTATCTTCCACAAGGGGAGACTGCCCTCTTTTTCCCTGTACAGATATCTGGTCAACCACGGTGTTTGGGGACCTGTCCAGAGGGAGAACAATATGGTGGCTAAAAGTGTGCTCCAATGCTGGATTGCCTGGTTATGTCCTTTCTTCACCTCGTGGATACCTGTTGCTCAAATGCTCTCTACCTCAGCTTCCTCATTTGTAATATGGGAATGATAATGCCCCTAATTGTGGGGTGGTTGTGAGGACTCTGCATGCAGAGCATAATAGTAAGCATTCAGTGAGCTTAGCTTTTATTTTCCTTAGAGAGGGAGAAAGAGTATTGGGCTAAGTGGCATGGTCAGGTGGTGAGGGGGCACAGATTATTTCCTCTAGTTTCTATCTCCTAAGGGCAACTGAAGATGGATCTGAAATGTGCCTGCAAACCTGAGGGTTGGGGACTGCACAGGGAAGATGAGATTGGGGCTCCAGTCATGGCAAAAGTGGCTGCCTCATGGGGTCTTGGGCCCCTCACATCAGAGAAATGGGGTAGATTCCATACTTCTTCTCCATACCAGCTGCTCATGTCTAGTAATTGACTGATGGAAGGACAAAAGACGAGCTCTGTTCTCTCAGGGTGGGATGACATGGGGGTAAAGTTCATGCTCCAGAATTCCCTGTAGGATCAGGCTGAAGCCTGTCTCCAGCTGGGGCCACTTTTCTCTTCCCACTGCCCCGTCCATCCTCCGCACTCGTGTCTCCTGAGAGCTCTGCCTCAATGCATTCATTGCGTTATATACCCTGAATCCCTGCCTCAGGCTCTGCTTTTAGGAAACTTGGCCTAAAACAGAAGTCTTAATACTAGATACTTTAAAAGACTCTGGAAGCCCTACTATCCATAGTTATAGGTGAAATATTGTACCCTCTGCCTTCCAGTGTTATTTCCTATTATAAAACCCAGTTTCATTTTCTCTAAAGTACTTCCCCCAGTCTGAAATTATCTTCTTTACTTATTTACTGTGTATTTTCCTCCTTTGAATGTGTGGTACAGGAGGGTAAGAGCCATGTTGATCTTGTTGACCATCCTTTTCCTGGAACCTAGAACAGGCCTGGCTCAGAGTAGGTAGTGACTGTTGGTCAAATGCACGTTGAATGAATGATGAATTGCATCTCCTTTTGTGGGTGCAAAACTCATCCTATTCTCACTCCTGGTTAACTTATGGAAATGGTTACAGAAACTCTCTTTTAGGCTCTAGCATCTTATTTGTAACCTTGACAGGTAACACATTTTCCTTTCTCATAATTCAGTTTCTATGGTTGCTTTAACTTGCAAATCCTTTAATATTTATTTATTGCATTTCTGATTGGCATTAGACATAATTCTCTCTTTTAGCATGGTACTTTGTTTAACTTGTATATAAATTGACTTTGCTCTAGAGTACGGAACTGAGTGTAAGGATAAAACTTCTAATATTTTGTAGAACATAGTTTGACTATTTTATTATTTAGAACAAGCTGACATTGACATGAGGGACTTAGCAGCCTCCATATCCAGTTGAGTTCCTGATATTTGCATATTAAATCTCAGATATTCCCAACTTGAAATTTTCTTGTGCTGTGTTCTCAACATTCTTTAAAGATATCACAAGCTGTAGTCTTAGGAAACTATGATTTTTTTTCACTTTGTCCTGTAGGAATTTTAGGAGTTATGCTGCTTCATGAAATTAGCTTCAAAAAGAAAGAAATGAGTGTTTGAGTGCCGCCCTGCCCACATGACTCTGTTTATTTGGGACCCATGATAATCAAAAGTGCTGTTTTCAACAAATACTTCTGAGAAATAATCTGAGCACTTAATTGGATGCAAAAAAGTGGGTATTTACCATTCTACCCTTTAATTAGCATAATCAGTGTTTCCAGTAGCAATAGCAATTGGAAAATTGCTAGTTTTATTAGGTTCATTATTCTCCCTTAGTGTAGTGTTGCATCAATGTGGCTATTATTCTTAAATTGCTTCTTTAAAACAAGAATTGGTATTTCCTACCAGCAAATCCTGACCTTTGGGTTTTGTACAGAGTCCACCAAACTCTTCACACCCAATTGTTAGAGCCAAAGTTTTAGTGGGGCTTTGCATTTTGTCTTATCTCTTCCTGTAGGTGATGGAATGAATGTCACAAGGCACACGTGTTTTAGGAAGGCCTGTGAATAGTCCATCATGGTTGTGCTTTGGTGGGAACTATGTATGATTTAGGGAACTATGTATGATTTCCTCATTTCTGGGTATGACTGAATGGAAAGAGATGGACTCCGTGTCTTTGAAATTGGGAAGTTAAGGTTGATTTTGAGTTTCTTCATTGCTTTTCTGTGCTCCAGAGGAGTCATTGAACAGAAATAAACTAGATGAAGGAAGGAAGATCCTGATTTCTTCCTCTCCACACCCTTTCAGAGGTCAGATTATTATTCCCAGAGACTTTATGATGCATAATAAAGACTTTGTTTGGGCCAATATTGGGATGCATTATCTTGCTATTAACGCTTTTCTGGGCAGAAGCTACTGGCCTCATCTTGCTCACAGCCCTTCCAAGTTTGAAAGCTATTGTCTAGGAGACTTGGCTTACACTGAAAACTGTAGCTGGCCTCCTTATTCCCTCCTGGTAGCAGACTATTACAGTCCTGTTACAGATTTTTGGCAGCCATGAGGTTCTCACTCAGATCCTTCCCTGCTATTTCACTCCTTAATACTTTCTATAGCTGCTCAGGAGAGGCATGAAACATGCCCCTAGGTTTTTATGGTTTTCCTAGGTCTTACCGTCTTGACTTCCTGCCTTTCTCTTAGAATTAGGACTTCTGAGCTTGGTGAACCTCAGCCATTGATCATAGTCAGTTATCAAGGATGCTCACTTAAATCCAAAAGGCTCTCTTCATACCCTAACCATTAGGGAACTCCTGCTGGAGTGAGGGTAAGCTCGTGGGCTGAGAGTAATGGATGCAGAGGTGGTCAGGAATCCCATCTTTTAGGCATTATCTACTAAGGCATGTCAGTTCGCATGGATCTTGATGGGCTCTGGCAGCATTAGTGTCACTGAGGGAAAACATTTTAGTCTTATTAAAGGTTAATGCATCAATCTCCACAAAGTCTGCCTGGAAGAGACTTGGGAGAAGACTAGATTTTCCCAGTGATGGAGACTGGGCAGGCCACCCCGCTACAGACATGCCTGGCGATACAGATATGCCCCTGAATGGCATTTGGGGCCAACTGGAGTGCTGTTCCTGGGGGGCCGGCCTGGGGCTGCAGTTTCACTCTGATTGCAGCAGCTTTCCTGCCACGCCTCAGGGAGCTGCCCGATGGCCCTGTCCCATGGCAGGAGCGGCCGATGGCAGAGTGAGATTACCAACTTTGCATTCACTTGCCAAATGAGCGGCATGTTATCTCTTGCCTGGCCCTGCACCAGATCCTGTTTTTGCACACTAATGAATTCAGCAAAGAGGAAAAACACTCTACGAGTTGGGCAGGAGGAAACAAAGTCCCATAAATAAATGGCTATGAGGCGAGAACCATGGATAAGAAAAACTACAGGAAAGGAGAATGCTACCAGGGGCCTCATATCAATGAAGAAACACCACAGCAAGACTAGAGAGGCCCCAGATTTTCAATAGCAAATTAAAGGCTATGGCAGCTAGATGTTCTGGCCATGGAAGTAATATTATTTCACGGTCAGGGGTTAAGAGTTGCCGAATCCAGAGTAAGTTCAAATCCCAGCTCTGCCTCTTGTTAGATTTTGACTTTGAGAAGTTATGGCTCCACTCTGTGCCTCTGTTTACCCATCTGTTAAATGGGCATAAACACAGCAGCTATCTGAGAGTCGTTACAAATTAATAAATATAATGTACTTAAATCAGTGCTTGACTCATACTAAGTGTTATGAAAACTGTTCGCTTGGGAGGACAGAACTTATCTGCATGGTCTCTGCCTCAGAATTTAAAAATATGACGTAAGAGTAAGGAATCTAGAGCCTAATAGGTAAGAAGAAAATGAACCTGAGGCAGAGACCTGTCATTGACAACCCTGTGATCCATCCACAACTGCACTGTCCAATACGGTAGCCCCTAGCCACATGTAGTATTTAGATTTAAACAGAAATCAATTAAAGCCAAATACAATCAAAAGTTCAGTTCCTCAGTCTCACTAGCCACTTTTCAAGTGCTTAATAGCCACGTGTGGCTGGAGGCTTTCATACCGGATAGTGCACAGTAGGACATGCCCATGAACACAGAATCTTCCACTGGTGGGTTCTGGCCTGGGGCTATGATGAGCAGCTGAAGAAGTATGAAAATGATTCAGCCTCCATTAATAACAGCTGACAGTTTCTGAGCATTTCGTTCTGATCACCTTACATGCATTATCTCAGTTAATTCTCCCAATGAGCCTATGAAGCAGAGACTCTGGCAATCTTCATTTTCTGGGTAGGGTAAGTGAAGCGGAGAGGAGGTCATTGCCCACAATCACGCAGCAGGAGAAGGGCGGAGTTGGCTGGCCCCATTTGGAGCTGCAGCAATCGTGCCACCTTACAACATGACGTGCACAGTGTGGGCTAAGAGCACAGGGAGGAAGCGCCAGTGCCAAGGACAGCTCTGGAGCAAAGGCTGGTGTGTTGCGAAGAAGGAGGTCCTATTCTGAAGTGACGACTTTGGAAGCTCATTGAGAAACCTCAGCTGACAACAGGTTTGGGATTGAGAATTAAAAAATAACAGTTCAGATTTCTGCTTTTACAAAACAATAATGAATGGTCAGTGGAATCCTTTCAAATGAGCTTTTCATGGTTGGAAGATACATTAAATAATTGGTCAACTTCATTTCTAAGGGCTTTTATGCCTCAGTCTGAGGCATGTGTATAAACAGATACTTATTAAAGAGCTGCTGGGTCCACATGCCATGGTGAGCCCTGGAGGTCCGATCACGATTAATCTGGATATGCCCTCGTTAGAGACTTGGCCATAGATAATGGCTAAAACTTACTGAGATATGCATTATGTGCATAATTCATTTAACCCTTACACCGAATCTATTAAATAAGCACCTCATGGTTATCCCTCTTACACCTTTAGGGGAACAGATGTTTAGAGAGGTTAAGTCACTGGCCTGAGGTCACACAGCTTCTAATCCCCATCTCCTATGTGTGGGAATGAGAAGCCTGCCCAGTTTCTGATGGTACCTGTCTTTGCGCTGTGATCCAGAGGGGCAGGACACCATTGTCCCACCACTCAGTCTTGTTCTGTGTGGTCTTGAAGGAATGTTTCAAGTTTGTCTCTGTGTTAAACATCATGTTGTGAATGACTCCGTGGTCTTCAATCCAGCGACCTGGGGGATAAAGAAGCGAAGGTGCTGATAAGTTCTATGAACAAATTCTGCCGGGGGTGTCAAGTGTCCTAAGACCACCTCCCCAGACATCCCTGTGGTTGGCTACTTTTTCTGGGGGACTGTTGCTCTGGGTGGCCGTATGGGGGCTTCAGACTTATTTTCGTGGAGGAGCAAACACTGGTAGCCACAAAGGAAGGGCTAATCACATTTCACACCTGCCAGATTGGATCTGCTCCCTGAATCAGACCTCGGAGCCCTGGAAAGCCAGTGCTGGCTGGGCAAGCTGATGAGGGAGGAGGGAAAGCAGGGTGTTGGGACGCCAGGTGACTTGGATTTTTCTGTTTCCATAAACTGAGAGCCTTGGATTTGGATGCTTCCTTCGGGATTATTTTTGTCATCTGCTTGTGATGATCTGATTCGTTGTTGAACATCCAGTGGGTTTATTCTTGGCAAACATCCCAGGGTTTCTCCTAGGACTCCCATGGGCTGGGCTGTTTGAGGGAACCAATGGAATCAGGAAGATCTCCAGACATAGATGAGAGCAGACTTTTTTCTCTCTACTTAAGGGAGGAAGGCAGATGTTGGGGAATGTGGGTAAGCTAGATTGTTCTTGAAAACATAACAGTTGAACTAAGTATAGAAAAAACCCATGATCTTACAAAGGGGAGTGCATGTGGTGGGGCAGTATAAAGACTGAGCTGAAAGACCCAAGGGGAGGGCCGAGCATGCACTTATCTGCCTGCTGGGACATAAGCCTCTGGGAGACCCTGCTGATTATAATAACATAGGATGATTTCTCCTATGTCCACGGTAAACTGAGGCAGGACATTCTGTGACTAGAACTTGATGGTCATGGGAATAGAGGAGGGAAAGGTGTTCTGCTGGGTCAGAGACACTGCCAGGCTGCTGGTGGGTAAAGTCCCCCCTGGGGTGGCCAAGACTTTCAACCGGAAAGAAGCAAACAGTTGTCATCTTACTGTTTCTGCCTTGTAGGTAGGCCAGACAGCCAACCATACATGAGGTCACTGGAAATAAGTGTTGCTGGCAGGGATTGGGGCCTTGGAATATCAAGATTCCTGGTCAGGGGTTCAACTGGATGGCTGACAGGGAAAGAATGTGGAACTAGAGTCTAAGATTGCTGGATGCCAATCCTGACTTGGCTCCTGAACTTGCTGTGCGAGCTTGAACAAATCCCTAAACTTCCTGGCTGGTACACCTGCATAGTAGTGGGAGGATTGTGTGATGAAATCACGGCACACGCTCACTGTTGTGTCATATGCCATCACATTAACTCAACTAATCTCCCAACAGCGTTGGAAGGGAGGTACTATTATAGTTCTCCTTTAGAAATTTTCCCCTTTACTTGAAACAGACACAGAGATCAAGGTCATGTGGCAGTGCTGGGCTTTGAACCTGGGAGGTTTGGTTGCAGCCCATGCTTTTTTTTTTTAAATTCAGGTAAAAGTCACATAACAAAAAATTATTCATTTTAAAGTATACAATTCAGTAACATTTACTATTATACAATGTTACACAATAATCACATCTTTCTAGTTCCAAGACATTTTCATCACCCCAGAATGGGGGCTCTGAACCCATTATCAGTCATGCTCCAATTTTCCATCTTCCTCCCCACTGGTGGCCGCTGAGCTGCTTTCTATCTCTATGGTTTTACCTCTTCTGGACATTTCATAGAAATGGAATCACACAATACGTGACCTTTTGTGTATCTGTATTTCGTTCCTTTTTATGACTGAATAATATTCTATTGTATGGATAAACCAGAATTTGTTTATCCACTCATCAGCTGATGGACATTTGGATTGTTTCCATTTTTTGGCTACTGTGAATAATGCTGCTATGGACATCTGTGTACAAGTATCTGTCTCAGTCCCTGCTTTCAGTTTGTTTTGGTATAAACCTAGGAGTTGAATTGCTGAGTCATATAGTAACTCTTTGCTTAACTTTTTGTCAAACTATTTTCTGCAGTGGCTGCATCATTTTACATTCCCACCAGCAACGTTTAAGTGTTCGAGTTTCTCCGCATCATTCCTAGCACTTGTTATTTTCCATTTTTTGATTAGGCCAGCCTAGTGGATGTGAAGTGGTATCTCTTTGGGTTTTGATTTGTGTGTCCTAAATGACTGATGATGTTGAACATTATAGCCTGTTCCCTTAATCTCTCTGCTGTAATGTCTCTCAGGAGGGGGAGGTTGAATACCATGGGTGAGGGTACTTTGTTGCAGCCAGAGGCAGAGGCCAAATTGGGCGAAAACCTTTAGAGCCTCACAGATGAGTAAGGAAGTCCTCTGCAATCCACAACGGGCCCTCTTCCTGTTACAGTGCCCGAGCTTCCTCATGGCTGAGCTGTGCCACATCACAGCAGATGACATGGAAGCACAGAGATAATTCACCCAGGGAGCAGCTTGCCCGTGCCTTTTTATTCGAACGTGCAATATCCTGGATTAGATTCTATGTGACTCTTCCTGCCCAGTAAAGAGAAAATCACCCTGGAATTACAAATATCTACCATTTCCCCTATTCTAGTGTTTTTCTGTGGTATATTCTACCACAAATATTAGAATTAATTGAATTTCTTGTTAAAAACACGGATTCCCTAGTCACCACTGCAGCCATTACTGAATTTGGCACCTCTATGCTGGTATCCGTGAGTCTGCATTTTATCCAGCTCTCCAGGTGCCCACTGGCATGTCAGAATACTGGGTAAGGGGCTGTTATTAACGTATGCATTTGGATTAGTTCTGGCAGATTTCCCATTACTCTCAAGTCTGGATTGATAGCAGCCCCCCTGAAGGACAGGAGGAGGGCAGGCAGCCATCAAAACCTGGGTCATTCCGGTATCCATGGAAGCTTGCGAGTCCAGAGCCACTGGGAGGACTTGGGAGGAGAAATTGGAGGAAGCAGAGGATGCCACTGACACAGAAACTTCCCCTTCCTGGGCCTTAATGATTCTGGCTTCCATGCCCTGGGACCCAGAGGTCAATTACAATATCAGTTAAGTAGACTGGCCTGGGAACCAATCATGGAATCCATTTTCCCCTCAGAGTGATGTTACCCAAGTTTCAAGCAACTAAACTAAAATGAGCCCAGGGAGCATGACCCTTCCATTCTGTGGCATGGCTGGTCCCAGTAATTGCACAGAGGGAACTGTCTCCGTGGCGCGTTGTGGTTATTTCGACCATGACACTTAGAGGAATGCTCTGAATCCAACTAGCAGCTGGGGACCGCTAATGGCCAGCAGAGGTTTCCACTGCCCTTCGGTTGCTCCTGCCTGCTGCTCAGACCTCTTTATCCTGGTCAAGGGTCAGTTCTGGAACGTAGGAGAAACAAGACAGAAGAGAGGAAAAGCTAAGAAATGAACAGCTGCAGGGAGCAGCAATCAGTTTTACTAAAATGGCATTTTCTGTTCTGGAGATAGTCAGGGGTCTGGCTGCAAACACTATGCAAAGGCAACGCTGTTGGCCGTGCCTGGGGTTCCAGTAGCTGCAAAGGAGCTGGCTTTACTCGGGTCGGACGATGCTGTCCTCACGGCAGTTTGATGCTGCAGAGGGGCGGCTGCACTTGGAGGCGGGGCACCAGAGTCTGGTCTTGGTCCTTGTAAGCCCTTGCTCTCTCTGGGCCTCGGTTTCCCCCACCATAAACTGAGATGGGTTAACGATTTCCAAGGGCCTTTCTGGCGCTAACCATTCCGAGAGTCTGTCACCCATGTCATTTTAATGTCTGGCAATGTGGGTAATTATACAAGTTAAACAGGAAGTAGGATGAGCGTTCCTAGAGAATGCGATTCCTGCTGCCTGCTAATTATCCTTTAATCAGGGTACAATGCATACTCCCACGCCGTATCAGTTACGGCAATGTGCCGGAAAATTTACCCAGCTGAGCATTTCAGGTACAGGAATGAACCCAACTAGATTCAGCTCCATTCTCTTGATTTCCAGAGACTGACATTTGTTTATTTCCGAGATAACTTGTGGAATGAATTTAGAAACCCATGAAGTCCAGAGTTTCTCCAAAACCTTCCTTTCTCCCTCCTTTTCTCAAGTATTTTGAGCCAACTACTATCCCAGACAGCTCATGGCATTTACAGTCAGGGGCAGGGGAGAGAGAGGGCTTTGAAAATGGAAAGAGCATGTTCTGGAGTGCATGCAATGCTCACAGGTACCTTCTCCGAGAATTCTACTCATAGTGAAAGAGCAAACCATGACTGACTCCATTTTGTTCTGTGCCCTCCATCTCGAGTAACTGTGTCCCCGACACGGCCCCTTTCTGGGGAAAGTTCCCGGCCCGGGAAAGTTACCGTGCAAATCTCCCCGGCCAATCAGCCAAGACCCACAGCCTCCCCGGCCAATCAGCTAGAGCCACAACCATCACCCCACCAAACTGCCCTTACACCCCTATAAAACCTTTGTGCTTTTGAAACGCGCGCTCTCTCTCTGTGTGGCATGTTACCGCTGCGTCGGTGCAGACCGGAGATTGAGCTCGAGCTAGCTCGAATAAAGGCTCTTTACTTTTACATTGGACTAGGCTCCCTAGCAGTCTTTGGGGATCAAGAATTCTGAGCATAACAATAGGTCCTGCTGAAAGGTAGGTCTAGGCACCATATTTGTACCATGTGACGTCTTCTCTGTATTCAGTGGGTTGGCTAGAAGCCCAATTCTCTGTGAAGACTTAAACCAAGAGACAGAGTAACCAATCAGCTGGTGGTGGGCTCTGGGCTGCCTACCCTGACAGGCCATGAGCAATAAGGTTAAGCTGGTTACCAGAGTGAGAGAAGCAGTTAAGAAATTTCATAGGGCTGTTAAGAAAGACCACTGGGATTCGAATAGCCTGAAAGAGGAAGTCTACTTCTATAATACCAGTTTCCATTTTCTGTCTCTAATAGATGCTGAACAAAGTGCATTGAGAACACTGGAAAGAGGGGATTAGGGAAGTCTGCTGGTGGAAGGCAAGAGTAAATATTTGCCATGATTTTTAAGAAT